TTTTTGCTTTCGGAACCGTATAAATAACAATTAATACGAACTGACTGTAAAAGGAAGTCGACTTCTTAGTGCATACATTTGTAAGTAACTTCATCGGTTTGACTTTTACTTTTTGTGTCATTGCAGTCATTTTTCTGAGACCATCCTCAGAGTACTTATGGGCGGTCACTTAAAGACGTGATTTTGTGCAGGACAAAGTTTTGGCTTGTGCCATACATAGTGCAAACTCGCTCGGGAAAGCATAAAAAATGACTGCAACTAGGGAAAGTGATTTACAAGAATTCTACTGAGGAATGAAGAGATTCCTGGAGATAAGAATTCTTCATTTCAAAGGTTTCGCAAACGTTTCATGATTTCTCTTGCAGGCTCTGTTATAAACCGGGAAAAGCGTTCTGCTAACGATTTGCAAAAAATAGATTGTGATGATGCAATCAAGGAAGCTGGAAACAAGTACGTAGATTTGTCATGGAAAGTAAAGGGAGACGGAGACAAAATCGCTTACTGTAACCGTAATAGGAATTGTCAAGTGATTAAGGATTCGCTGGAAGATAAGAGGATCCAGGTGTTAGATATTTTCAAAGGCACCTTGAGCATAAAACGCTCCACGCTACAGAGGAAGAGTCATAGCGTTAGTCTTCTATGCATAGTGGAGACGGACACAGGCATATACACTCAGGAAGTCACGATCTACTACTCTCTAATGTGTAAGTTGAGATTATTTTTTAAATTGAATTAGGTCCTGTAGAGCCCTTTATGCGATACGTTAGTGTTGCAATAAAAAAAAAACAAAATATAATAATAATAACAATAATAATAATAATAACAATAGTGATAATAAAAATAATAATAGCTATAATAATGTTAATAATAATAACAATTAATTAACTCATTACAACTCAACTATCGGTTTTCAGCGAGACTTTCATGAATCAACTTAGTTACTTGATTAATTAAGTGATTAATGATTCATGAAATAAAGGTAATAAAGCAAATATTGGCTCATGAATTTAAATAGGGTCAACATTTTAAAAGCGGTAAATAAAGTAACAAAGTCTAAAAAAATATATAAATAAAATAAGGGTCTATTAAAAAGGTTTACTGTAGTTTGTCGAGGAAGGGGCAATCGCAGGTCGTTGAAATCTCTTGTGTTAAATGAATAAGAAGCTTGATTTTTAATAAATCAATTATCTCAATTATAGGCAACCGTGGAATACAATGTAGATATGAAAAACGCATAGAGAGAGGCTTGAGATGTATACTCTTTGGCGTTTTGTCTGACGAGCTTCGGAGTGGGTGTCCCTATCTACCTAATGGGTGTCAAGTCGTTCGTAAATGGAAGGGAAAAGGAGAATGGACCTATTACATTCACGCGCGCTTAGCTGTTAAACTAGGTCTTTTATTTAATTCCTGGCAAAATTTAAACACGACCGTGTTAAAAAAAAAACAGAAAGAAAACCAACCAAACAAACGAACAAAATAAAGACGGCAGGATTTGTTTTTCACCTTTCGTATTATTATGTTCATTAACTAATTAATTTAATACAAAACCATTCCAAAGAATTGAAGTTTCAATGGAAACTGCGATAACAAACCTGAATCCCTCTATACTGTTCTCAAAAATAAGAGAACACATGATTAACCTTCAGAAAACCATTAATTTCAGGCCCTAAAGCGACCCTGCCTCCACTTTTCCGGACTGCGGTAAGTAGTTGTAGCAGTTGTTACATCTAATCTCTTTTAACTTAATTGTATCAACCCCGTAACCGAGGTCGGCAAGTTATTTACTTATTTATAGAGGCAAGAAATTAAAGGATTGAAAAATAGGCCAAGGCCAATTCGAGGCTTAAAGGGTTTTGGGGATTCAATAAAGGTGCGAGGTAATCCAAGACAGTTTTAAAATGTCGATTCCACGCTGTAGATTCCGGGTTCTAAAGTCCAGGATTCCGGATTCCACAAGCTAAATTTACAGGACTCCGGAATTCCAACTTCCCGTACCCAGGGAGGTCCAGTCAATCAGTACATTTTCACTGAAATTTCTTGAACATAATCTTTGTAAATATTGTTTGTAAGTAGGACTTTCTTGAATTTTGTATATTTAGTTTAATTTTATTTATCTTGTGCAGTTTTTTTATGTTTAATTTTTTGTTGAGGGCCACGTGCATATTATCTGTGGATATCATGTGAAAGCCTCTTTAAAAAGTATCTATCTATCTATCTATCTATCTATCTATCTATCTATCTATCTATCTATCTATCTATCTACCTATCTATCTATCTATCTATCTATCTATCTATCTATCTATCTATCTATCTATCTATCTATCTATCTAT